GTTGAGGTTTCGCAGCACATACGGCCGGGGAGAGGCTTTAGGATCCATGGTTTGGAGCTTCGATCCTGATCCAGGCTAGAGTTGCGGGTTGCCAGACCAAACCCAATAGCCACTCACATAGCCACTGGCACGAGCTGGCCATGGCGCGGGCTGCACAGTTCATTCTCAGAGTAACTTGGGGCCAGCAGGCGGCACAGCATGGTTCCTGAAACTGATGAAACGCGCTAGGTGTATGCCTTGGCACACCTCAAATGTCGTGTCGCACACGAAGACGTGATTTTACCTATGAAAGTTGCACTACACAGGCATGCCATCGTCTTAACACAAGATGTCATGCACGATTTCCTGTGATAAGCAGAAGGGAGCCTCCTCAGGCAGCAGACCCTCGTTCGGTGCTTCTGCCAACAGCGCTTTGACCTCAAACATCGGAATCTGTTTCCGCGTCTGGCGATCACTTCTACTCTCTCAGCACCCGTAAGAAACGCGAGCTTGCAGCAACGCACTGTTTAGAGTCTACAGAGTCTACTCCTGAGCACCATCACTCGCAGCAGCGAGAGATTTTCCATCCGATCTCAGCAGTCAGAGTAATCCGAATGGATTCGACATTCCGGGCCTGATGCTGTTACAGGCACTCCAGGACGTGAGCATCGTTTAAATAAGCTGTTGTAGCCACCGCATGGGACTTGCCATGCTTGCCTCTTGTGGGCTGTTAAATGAGAGAGACAAAACTGAGCAAGGTGACAAGGCACCTTGCCTGACGGGAAAACATGGGAGACGGTTTTTCGAGGAGTCAAAAGTGGAATGCAAGACGCCCTTAGCCCTAGTTTGCGTCGATCTTGTTCCACACACCGGACGGAAGGACAATGAACTGCTGCGCAAAATCTTCCATCTTCCAGAGCCTGGTCCGGAGATCGCTGATTTTCTGACTGGCGTCGTTGATGTTGAAAACCAAGGATTCGTAGTCGGCCTGGAGCTGCTTCGCGTACTTGTTCTCGTGCTCTTCAATATCGGGCTTGA